GCGGGGGGCGGGGGGGGGCGGGTCCGCGGCGGGGAGCGGGACGGAAGGGGGGGGGAGTCGCGCCGGGAAGCGGAGGGGAACGGTGAACCGCCGTCTGCGAAGCGTATCGGCATGGGGTGGGGGCGAAGGGGGGGGTTACTAGTTTCAGGGTTGCTGGTTTCCCTTGTGCTCGGGCGAAATGAGTTTTTCCTTCTGAACTTTCGCACATGCAAAATCAAACTGCTTAGACTTCTGTTGGTGGATGCACAGTTGCATTTCTTTTCGGTTGTCCAAGTGCTTCTTTCAAGCTGTAAATGTAAGATCTCCTCCTTGTATTTCTAAGGCTGTGCTTGTGAGGGGAGGAAGAAGATTGTACCGATTTCACAGAAGCTACTGACCACCCACCAACATGGTCGTTTTCACATGCAGCGCATGTGGCGAATCGGTGAAGAAAGCACAAGTTGAAAAACATGTGAACATCTGCAGAAACTGCCAGTGCCTTTCTTGCATGGATTGTGGCAAGGATTTCTGGTAGGTAAAGGATGGGAAACAGCCTTTTTTTGGGAAACAAGGTTCTCCTGTGGTGTATTAGAATTGAATTTGGCAATTTCTGAGTAATTCATATTTGTATTTAAAGATTATACGTGTTTTTATGTAATTTCAAGCCTAATCATCCAAGTTGGAACGGCAAGGACGACTTAACCACACAGTATACGGAGTTGCAATTTCTGCTTTTACAGTTATAAGTGACAGTGCTTTCAGCTTCTGATCATCAACTGTCACTTATTCTGCTACTGCAGAGAGAGTGAGATTGGCAATAACGTCAAAAATTCTGAATTTGGTTGTCACTTCTCAGAACTCAGAAGAAAGCAGTGCTCCTATCTGCTTTCGAAATATAAATACATGAATTTGCGTAAGAAAAGAACATTGTTCTCAAATAATGATTGTATTTCTCAATACTTCACTGACAAAAGAGTAAGATCTATGTTATTCATTCCTTCTTGGGGGCACTTACACATTGGTCAGAATTACACTACCACATTAGTATACCTATATTTAGGAATTGGGTTTTTGCAAGCATTTTTCACCTGCTTTTCTAATTTTAAAATGTGTCAATGTGAGTAGTAAAACACAGATATACATTAATAGCTGTGCATATATTACGTGTACAAATGTGTGTAAGTTATAGAGTCATTAATAAAAGCAGTCTCCTGAAGACTCATCTGATTTTGCAGATCAGAAATTTTCACTGAAGGCTGTAGCATGACAGAAATGTCAGCAGTCTTATAAGCATGTACTTCAAGCATGTCAAACTTTACTCATATAAGCGTTGACAGTATTAAGGTTTAAATGTTAGATGCTATCATCTATTACTTCAGTTTGTTGATTACATAAGTCTTGCATAGTTTCAAGGACTGAAACACTTTAGTGAACTAGAGTTAAAAATCTCCTATGTTCAGGGGTGATGATTATAAGGAACATGTGAAGTGTGTAAGTGAAGACCAGAAATACGGTGGAAAAGATTTTGAAGCCAAAGCTAACAAAGGAGATGCTAAACAACAGGAGTGGATTCAGGTAAGGTTTGTACTATATACAGATATGATAAATAACTATTGTTTATAATCATTAAAGATACAAGAGAGGCTATACTGGATCAAACCAGAGATGTCTTTTTCCCGATATCCACAGCTTGCTTTTGGCAATTCCTTGGTAGGTCTATTGCTTATCCTGATAAGAAACACACCTTTTGTTTGTTTTGAATCTGTCTCCTACTAGTTTGATTTGATGATCCCCAGTTCTTGCATACAAAGAGGCATTGATCATTGTCCACCCTCTTTGTGCCACATACGCTTTTTTAGGCCTCTGTCAACTATCCGTCCCCATCTCATCGTCTCTGTTCCAGGCTGAAAAGTCCTATCCTGCTCAGTTGTTCTTCATATGTAAATTCTATCTTTGGTCCTCTGAAGTCTTCCCAGTTCTACTGTATCCTTGTGAAATGAGGTTACAAGAACTACATACACTGTTCAAGATAGGGATGAACCGTAGATTTACTCTGCATCATAATGATGTTTTCTGTGTCCTTCTTTATTCCTTTCTTACTGATTTTTGTCAGTTAATCTACGTTTTTTTTTTAACTGCTGCTGATCATTTTGCTGGCATTTTCATGGAATTGACTATTTTAACCCCAAGATCTTGAGTCTAAGCTCCAGCGATCAACTTAAAGCCTGCCACTTTAGATGTGAAGTTAGGATTGCTTTTCCTATGCATGCTGCTTTACATGAATTTGTGTTGAATTTAATTCACCTTTTTGTTACCTAGTCACTCATTCTCTTAAGATCTTTCTGGAATTCTTCACAGTCCTCATCCTGAATAGCTTCATATCATCAGGAAATTCTCCTGCCCTCTTTTCAGGTATTTTGTAAATAATGTTGAACAGCAGAGGGTGCAGCATGGATCGCAAGAAATGTCTCCTACCCTTTCTGTCCTACCCTTCAGGTAGTTAGTTATCCTACGCAAGAACCTACCCTCTTATGGCTATTAGTTTCCTTTAAAGGTTTTAGGAAGGAACTCTCAAACATGTTTTTAAAGCCCCATTACATATAATTAGTTAGATCGCCTTTATCCAAGGATTTGTTGATTTCTATCTCGTATAGAATACAATCTAACAAAATACTAAGTTACACGCATACTCAAGGCATATGAATAATACCATTGAAGTCAACAGACTAGTGCCATTGTTCAGATTAAACATTGTTCAAAGGCAGTATGATGTGAATGCTGTTGCTTATGAAATTGTTAGCCTTCCTCAATAGTAAGTACTTTCTACACAGAAGGGTGAGGGATTATTACAGAGTGTCCTTCTCTGGTAGTCTTAACGCATCCACAAAACCTTTCAGTAAACAGATTTTGAGACGTACAGGAAGGCTCTCCAGTGTCCAGTGGCTACATCTTTAAATAATGGGAAGCTCAGAGCCTTTTTTCCCCCAGAAGCAGCAGTGCTGTTCAAGTAACTGCCACAAGGCCCTGGCCTAACCACCTCTGTTCTCTTGTGCTGGCTAGGAATATGCCTGAGCTCTCTTATGGGGATTAATAGTTGTTGAAGCTGGCACTGCGGCTAAAAGAAATGCATGTCAAACTGCGGTCTCAAAGTTAGCCTGATTTTTCACAATTAACTCCAGAAGTTTGCAAAAACCAATCAGTTGACAATTGCTTTTCTTAATGCAGGTCTTTTTCTTGCTGCAAGAATCCCCTATGTGATACAGTTACTTTACTTTTAAAAGTTTTTATTACAGGTTGTAACTTGTACATCAGAAAGCATTGGTGAGCAGTCCTGCTCGCCTCTGCTTACTATATAGGTATAAGTATTTATATAGATAACTTTGATGCATCTTATGATCTATGATACCAAAGGTTAGTGTTTTTCCCATACGTATTGAACAGTTCTTTAGAGCAGGCTATACAGTCTGTGGCTACTGGGTGATTTCTGTCCAATGTGTTTCCGACTTGCATACCTTGCATGTATCATTTGATCCTTATGCTGCTTTGCTGATTTAATTCTGTTTTTCTTCATTCAGAAAATTCATGAAGTAATGAAGAAGCCAAACATAAGCCCTAAAGTGCGGAACATTCTGGAGCAAATGCGTGTCTTTGATAACATTCCAAGAAAAAAAGTAAAGTTTCAGGTATGTTTTAATAGAGATTTGTAGTAATCCATGCAGTGAGCTTAAAAATAGACTTTCTTAGCAAGTGCCACTCTCTTTTAACAAAGGTGGGACAAACTGCTTATTTGGGCATTGGTAAATAGATGGTGTAATAGCCGAGTTTCAAATAGGCAATGTTTGTAAAATACATCTTGCTTAAAAGGACTCTCTGTGTGCCATTTTAATTAGGTATTAAGCCAGACTCACCATTCAATTAATCTCCATGTGTAGGCTTGTTCTTTTTTTAATACCTTTGGTTTTTTCTATTTGCAATTTCTATTGAATGTCCAAATTCTTAGACATACTTTGAAAGGATTCTGATTTCTGTGGCTTTGTTTTTTCCTGGTAAAGGCAAGATACTGTTTTGAGAGTTTTCTTGTTGCTCAGTATTCTGACAGGATCTCCCACGCTGCATGCTTCACTAAACTTTGCATCACAGCCAAAGCAAATTCCAAATGTTTTATGTGGTGTCAGTAAAGAATTACTGACAAGCTGGCCATTTTTTTTTTCCCCTCTGTTCTGTGCCTCAGATTGTGAGGCTGAGAGAAGATCATGATTACTTGCAAAGCGCTCAACCTAATAGAACCTAATAGAGCTGCGGTGAAATGGCTGCTAGTGACCTGAAGGTTAGAATACTTTTCTACAAAATCAATGTTCTAAATAGGGAAAGTGATATTGTCAAGAAGCCTCTTTCTTTTTGGTAAGATATGTTGCAGTGGAACATGAGAAGTTTTTGCAGTTCATTGTTCCAATTTACTAATGCAGCTTTCCTGGGATTTTCATTGCAATGCAAAAATCTTTACATTAGGTTTTACTTAAAATTCCACATTCCTGAAAGTTGATCTGTCGCTGATAGTGTGAGCATATTGTAAGTAGAAATTTACTGCTTTGTTTTCATTTTC